TACATACCTATAGAGCAATAGACTCGCGCATGAAATGTAATTTATTTGACGGGCAATTTGTAAGCGAAGCTGGCCGAGACTTACTCTGTAGGGAAGGCGCTGCCGTAAAGGCATGGCATGGCGAATGAGGTGCCATTTAGGAGCTGCAGAAGCACGCACACTCACTGCCTGGCCACGCCCAGTTAATGTTTTGATTTATAGGCCAAGGCACGTATACGCCCCATTGTGCCATCAGAAGCCAGGCAAAATGAAGAGCTAGATGAGGCTCGGATACACTTAGCAGACATTGGAATGGAAGTATATAGGATATGCAGCAGCTGAAGCGCGTGTAATATAGCAAAAGTATCTATAAATTCATTAAGTGACAGGCGGGCCAAGAGCTGCGCGTGATACTTCGAGCTTTGTTCTCTGGCGTCACAAAATGTAAATACCTTTGAGGCAAAGAGTATTCGCTGGCCATTTGGTGTAATAGACACGCTCCTCGCATATTTACGAGCGCTGTAAATGGAGCTCGTGCGACCCTAATCTGCGGAGCTGCAGCCTGATCCCGGCTAAGTGGCTGCGCAGCCTCCAGGGAATTGAGTGAAAGCCATTCAAAGCTGGAGCAAAGACAACAATGATAACAGCTCAAGTGGGCGGCCCATGCTTCGCTTGCTTTCCATTTTCATTTTTCTGTTTTTGGATCATTTTTGATTCTATTGAAAAGTTTTGCAATTAAAATATTTGGCTTACGGCGCTCGCCAAACCAATTAACTGAGCTAACCCAATTGCAGTGAAATCGATAGGGCCAAAGCCAAAGACAAGACAATTAAACTTGACAGCAGAACACAAAGCAAATAAACGGATAAAGACGTTGCGAGAGGGCAAGTCCGAGAAATGAGAGAAAAGAGGGTTAAGGTAAAGCCAAATCGATCAAGTAGCGGTTAACACACACCTGACCACAGTTCAATTAATGGCAAGACAGGGAACAAATTAGCAAACACACACACAGACACACACACACATATCAACACACGTCTGGTTCACATGTCATTAATCAATGAAAGCGACGGCCGAAATTAGGCAACGAATTTGATTGGAAACAGTGAGTGCCATAAATATGCGCACGGCTGAGCGCACAGGAAACTCTGCCCCGTCCGATCCACTTGAGTAAAGCAGCTTACAACACTTCACAAATGCTCGATGAAGGGTGTCTCTAAATACATGTGTATGTGTGTGTCTCTATCTATTTCTTTCCATCTCTCTCTCTCTCTCTCTCTGTGTGCACAATGGAACACTTGTAAGGATTAGCGCTGCCTTTTGTAGGCTGACAAATGAAACGCGGCTTATCATAAATATTATGATTGGTTTTTCCTTTCACGCCTTACACCCACTCCCAGCCAGTGTTGGCAAACGTACTTATATATACATATGTGTATGTATGTGTGATTTTAATTTGAAAGAAAAATGAAATTGTATTTCTATGCTCTGTTTACCTACCTTTCGAGCAGTCAGAGGGCAGAGGAGAACGTCTAGAGCTGAACAAAAATGTAATTTTCTATTTGATACCCTGTAGCCAGTGAGGCGGGGGGTGTATGGAAACCTGATGGAACTGTATTTTCAAGTGGGTGGAAAATGAAAATTGTTTTGTAGCTGACAGGAGAAGGCATCATATAATGATATGCGAAGGTAGTTGGATCAATTGTTGATATATTTTAATGTATAAATTAGCTTGAAATATTATGCAGCTTATATCCTTATTTCTTCTTCTTCTGCTGGGGATGTGGTGAATCGCTCTATATATGTATATTTCTGGGTATCTCACAGTCGTGCACTCCCCATCGAGCTGAGCTCCCCTTCGCAGACTTTTCGAGCAACTGAGGCAAACGGAAAGCTCATAACTCAACTGCTTACTTATGTGCACTGCGCAAAAAAACTATGTGAAAAGTAATCTATTTTGCAGCTGCCTCTGATGCCAGGCAGCTCGAGTTGCAGGCGAAAATTGCAATTTATAGTGCACTTTGCCGGTTTTATCGAGTTGTCTGCGGATAGATTGAATTTCCACACACAGCAAAACAATGCGTCTGCTTAGAGAAGAGGATAACAGTAAGACTTTTCTCTCAGCCAGGCTGGGCAGAGGTCGCTTCAGGTTGCCTGTGAATGCCTTAGAATCGCAACAGATGCGCAATTCATACATAAAATATGAACTCGAGGCTTTGCTAATTGAGGCAAGTATGAAAGGAAACCCAGAAGGTATAATGAGAGTCGCAGCAGTTGACGTTATGAAAGACAAACTGAAACCGAAATACAAATGAAAACAGAGAACGAAAACGAAAATGTAACAAAAATTGGTTTATTTGCTGGGAAATTCATCAGCTGCAAGCACAATGTATTTTTATTTTTTGCCAGTCAGCGCGGAAAAATCAATAAAATTATAAAGGCGTAAACATAAATTGCCGCTGTTTGATGTTCAAAGTTTCTCTCTCTTTCTCCCTCTCTCTCGGTCTGTCTGTGTGAACTTTAATAATCCTGATGTTGTGCCAGGCCCCTGGGCTTGGCCTGGTCTCGTTCATTATTATAACCAACATGTTGGCGCTGGCACACGTTTCTGCACTTGACTCGAGCAGCGAGCAGCTGCGAGTGCCAACCCCTGGCTTTGATAAAAAGCAGCGCGTGCAGCCAACCCCAGGGTCAAGTAACCCACCGACCCACCTGAGCCACGTCTCAGTCGCTTGCTGTTGCTGTTGCTGTTCCTGTTGCAGCACACCAAAACAAACCCAAAATTAAAGTCTTCCGTTGTATGAATGTCATGTGAGCTGGCTGCTATCGACTGCCTAATACTCGTTCAGGCAGCATTGTGACGGATACCATCGACTGGCTGATACTTTAACACCTTTGTCCAGCTTTAGAATATGCAGAGTTGGCTTTACTCAAATGCCAATACTCGTTCAATCATTTCAATCGACTTCCATTGCACTTCCATTCTGATAGCATCCTTCCCATCTATAATGCTGTTCAGCTTTAGATTAGATAAATGCAGCCTCTTTTATACCCGCTCACAATGAGTTTTCAGTGAAACTAGCGCAGCTCTCGCTTTCAGTTTGACTGACTGGCAATGAAGGCAAAAGGATTCTCAGAAACTCTTAGCTTAGTTTGTGAATCTATTGTAGCCTCTGCCAAAGGCTATTCAATATACTTCTACGAAAAATCAAAATATGTATATACATGCCAGTTGCATATTTTACTGCTATATCCTTATTCCTTTATGCCTAAGTAAAGACTCAGCTCGATTCAAAGGGCCCACTTTAACTTTCTCTTCTTAAGGCACTATAATACCAATACACTCTCTTTTACTCTGTGAGCGAGTAATAGTAAAGCTCACACACACACACACACACACACATCATTTAAACACACACACACATCCACGATAATTGACTCATGTGCAAGAAGCCCAAGGGCTGGCTATACTCAGCACCACCGGCCCCCGCCTTCGATCCGCCACACCCACCAAAATAGAAACGCAAGACAAGGCAGGTGGGGGGGTTAGCCAAGCAACAACAAAAAATAAAACAGCACACGAAACGTGGTCATGAAAATTTAATGATAAAACGAAATGTTATTCTAACGTCTCGCATATACCAAAAGACCCCATCAGACAGGGGCTGGATGGCTCGACGGCTCGACGGCTGGATGGCTGGATGGCTGGGGTTTGGGTATATTTTAATACCCTGCACACGTAACGTTTTTATGTTGTGTTTGTCTTTTCGGGGGTGGCAACAAGGTAGATAAATGTTGAAATTAGATCAGCATTGATAGCTGGCATGGGAGAGCAGACAGTTGTCCATTGGATCTATAAATGGCAAGAAGATAAAATGTAGAAACTAAAAGCTGCTGAGACTAGAAATTTCAACTATAAAATTGTTATATAATGATAAAAGTATATATTAACATACATATGTATGTATGAAATGTCTTGATAGTCGCAAACTGTCTACAGATTGGACTCTGGCTTTAATAATCATAAAGCAGCTCGAGTCGTTTCTGCTCTACTCCTCTCCCTTGCTTCTCTTATCAACTCTTCGCTCCTCTTGCCGGCTCCTCTTGTACTAGAAGCACTCCTCTGATTGATTGCTTCGGTGGGATGGGACTCGAGCCACTACTGCTTGTGGCTTGCGTGTCGTTCAAGCACTTTGTCAAAGCTTGTGGTTGTTATTTCTTCTTTGTGTGGAACAAAGCGAATATTACATGTAATTAGATGAATTTGAAGTGTGGCCACGCGGCTGGGAGCATGCTTGTGGAACTACCCTCGCGGCCCAATTGAAATAATTGCATATGTATTTATTGTGAATGCCACTGGAATGGCATATGGAATACTCTATAGAATATGGTACGGTATTTGTTTTATGATTGAAATGTGTGCAAGCAGCAAGTGCTCTACTTAATTTATGTAAATATGTGTAAACTAATCTTAACAAATACACATTTTTGTTGTTCACCAGCAGGCAACCTTTTGCAACACAGAAACAGCATTTCAATCATAAAAACAAATGATCAAATTCTATGATATTTCAATAAAATCCCAAATCAAATCAATTATGTTTAAAAAAAAAGAAAAATAAAGAAAGAGACAAAAGACAATTAACTACTCTCTGAGCCATAACGAAAGAACTAACGAAATCTTGTTTCTGTGTCGTTAAAGGTTGTTCACTGGCATGCCAACAACTCACACACTAACAACAACAACAACAACAACAACAACAAACACAGCAGCAGTAAATCATGTAAGAAACAGCTGTGAGTGCAACTGCAACCGCAACTGCAATAAAGCAAACGGGAGTTAACCACAAACGAGCGAACCACCAAGAGGCAACCACAAACGGATGCAGCAGCCCAATTTCCGGCAGCGGACATGAAATCGAAAAGCATCAGAGCAGCAAGCAAAAGAGCAGATCAACTATAAGGGCCACACACAGTACAAAGGAGGAGCGAGCGAGAAAGGCATAGAGAGCACTGCCACTGAACTGCAGCCAGCTGAAAGCAAGAGCAAGAGCGAGAGCGAGAGAGCGATAGAGCTCAAGCAATTCTAGAAATAAATCGAAAGAGCAGCTTGCAAAATGGACGCCTGCCACTGAAGCTGTGCTCTAGCAGAGTGAAAGAGAAAGAGAGATTGGGGAAGAGCTCAAGCCTTCAGTCTTAGTACTTAATCAAAGGAGAGGCAAAGCAAAATGGCCTCGTTCCAAATACCGCTGATCAACCTGGAGGTGCGCGAGGTGAAGGAGATTGTGTGGGAGAAGATACAGGAGCCGGTGAATCAGCGTCGCCTCATCCTGGTCATTGTCTCCATTGCCTTGCTGTTGGACAACATGCTGTACATGGTCATCGTGCCGATCATACCCGACTATCTGCGCGAGATCGGCAGCTTCGATGAGGGCCCAACGCCGCCGCCGCTTCGGGATAATGTCACTGGGCGCGTCATTCCGACGCATCACGATCATCACGGTCAAGACTCGGCCACGGGCATACTCTTCGCCTCCAAGGCCATCGTCCAGCTGATGGTGAATCCGTTCTCGGGCGGCTTAATCGACAAAATCGGCTACGACATACCCATGATGATCGGCCTGACCATCATGTTCTTCTCGACGGCCGTCTTCGCCTGCGGCAGCAGCTACAGCGTCCTCTTCTTCGCCCGCTCGCTCCAGGGCGCTGGCTCGGCGTTCGCCGACACCTCGGGTCTGGCCATGATTGCGGATCGCTTCACGGAGGAGAACGAGCGATCGCAGGCGCTGGGCATTGCGCTGGCATTTATTAGCTTCGGCTGCCTGGTGGCGCCACCTTTTGGCGGCGCTCTGTACCAATTCGCGGGCAAAGAGGTGCCGTTCCTCATATTGGCGCTGGTCTGCCTGCTGGATGGCCTGATGCTGTTGCTGGTCATGAAGCCCGTCAAGGAGCAGATCAAGCAGAGCAAAGAGGTCCAGAACCAGGTAATACCCATCTGGCGCCTACTCATGGATCCCTATATCGCCGTCTGCGCTGGAGCGTTGACCATGTCGAATGTGGCACTCGCCTTCTTGGAGCCCACCATCTCGCTGTGGATGGAGGACAACATGACCACGGACAACTGGAAGATCGGCATGGTCTGGCTGCCCGCCTTCTTTCCACACGTGCTGGGCGTGGTCATAACCGTGAAGATGGCACGCAAGTATCCGCAGCACCAGTGGCTGATGGCAGCCGGCGGGTTGGCCCTGGAGGGCTTCTCCTGCTTCATCATACCCTTCTGCGGCGGCTACAAGATGCTCATGCTGCCCATCTGCGTGATCTGCTTCGGCATCGCGTTGATCGACACGGCGCTGCTGCCCACGCTGGGCTACCTGGTGGACGTGCGCTATGTGTCCGTCTATGGCAGCATCTACGCCATCGCGGACATCTCCTACTCGATCGCCTATGCCGTGGGGCCGATCATTGCGGGCGGCGTTGTGGAGGCCATTGGATTCACAGCGCTCAACTTTCTCATCGCCTTCTCGAACCTGGCCTACGTGCCCGTGCTGCGCAAGCTGCGCAACATCTACGACTTCAAGCCGTTCGAGAACGAGGCCAACATATTGATGCAGGATCCGCCCAACAAGGAGTACCAGACCTACGTCATGCACGACCAGAAGCCCGTCGAGGGCGAGCTCAAGAATCACCTCGAGTACGGCCAGCAGTACGGCCAGCAGTCGGAGCAGGAGACCAACCTGGACGAGCAGCAGCAGCACCAGCAGTACGACTATCAGCAGGCGGCTGGCTACCAGCAGGATCAGAGCTACCAGCCGGGCTACCAGGAGCAGGGCGGCAGCTATGCCCAGCCACGCGTGGCGAATCCTTTCCAGCAGGCACAGCAGCAGCAGCAGCAGCAGCCAAGCAGAGGTCCTGCTGGACCAGCGAATCCCTTTAGACAAGGATTTTAAACTGTTGTCTTCAAGAAGAGATATTATCATTTCTATATACATATATCGATTATTTTGTTGAACTCACCTTGAATTCGGTTTAGGATATTACCTACATATATACATACATACTTATATATATATATATATATATAATTAGTAAGTGGTACGTACACTATAAAACTGCATATGGCATGCAAATAGTTCAAGTTCAGCTGCTAAAGCCCCCCCTGCACCAGTCTTGTATTATACACTGATTGCACGCAGCTACACATAGGATATACATACATATATATATATATACAGATATATATATATTGGCACTCTATACGCTGAAGCTAGAGCAACCAAAGCATAGTCATAATTGGATCAAACTCGAGGAGCAGCAGCGCCTGTTCCTAGTTCCGATCTGCAACAGATATCGCATATATATATAGATGCCTAGTCATATACATATTTATACAAGCCCTAGCACGTAAGCGGCGCAGCTGAGCAGGCTGGCCAGGTGCCCCAGGCGCCGTCGTGCCCAAGAGCAGGCAATGGCATTCATATCGCAGACATATCACAATTTGCACAAACCGAATACTATATACACCCTTCGTGTGCCATTGCGACGCGTCTGTTGGGCATCGTGTTGCCGCCCGATCGGCTGTGCCATATCATTTGGAGTTTTTGAAACGAGTTTTGATTTCAAGTATTTACAGATATTTCTAACATAAGACACAACCAAGGTAACGATACATATCAGAGTCTCGATGGCTCGCCTGTTTAAATTACCAAAAGTGATATTAACTATTGCTATTAGTACGATATGTGTACATATATAGTGCATGTATGAGTACGAGTATACATCAAATATCGTCTATATATACATACATACATATACATATACGTTTAGTTCGTAACGAGAATTTGAAAATATTAGATGTTTCATATATACCTACCAATCAATTATTATTTGCTTTGTCGACTCTATGCGACCGTTGGCTAAGCCCCCTCTATATCTATGCGTATACAGGGTATAGCCTAGGCCTAGCAGCTCGATAATAGCATAGCATAAATGTGTGTACCTTGTGTGTGTATCGACAGATACATTATCTCAACTTAGCTAACTGTATTTTAAATATATATATACATATATATCATTTTGAGTGCACTCGTATTTTGCAGACAGCTTTTTATAGCTGCTCTCTAGATATACATATATTATACACCTATTCTGTCTAGGATCTAAGTCAACTGAACATTTGTGTATTACAATTGCTGTACACAGTTAATTATCTCAATCTGTTATAGTCTGTTATATAGGTCAATTGGATTGCGTAATCAGGCAGACGAACTAAACTGAGTCAGATACTTATACTACAGATAAATGTAGAAAACTATTTGAGATTTAGTTTTACTTTACAAACGCTTAGATATATTGTCTATATTCAGAACTATCAATGCTATAATCTTTTCAAACTAATTTGATTCAATTCAAACTGATTGCCTAGCTATATCTCAAAGAAATCTTAGTAAAGCCATTCTGTTTCTAGATCAACATTGGGAATATCAAAAATGAACTCATTTAATAGTTTAGTGTGTTGGATTGATTACAAAATGTCATCAAATTTGCTTGGCCTGTGTTAGCACACACATATAAACATAAATATATATACATACATATATATATATATTTATGCCATAGATATATATAGATTTCTAATGTGTATTACATAATAATTACGCCAGTCGAAACTCTTGAACATTCTATATCCGTAAACATATCAGTGACACGGCCATTTTTTCAAATTAATAGCAAAGTTATCTAATCTGCGAGTATATATACATATATACCATATACAGTTAGAGCTTATTTTGAAGAATTTTAAGAAGCAGAATACCAGCCTAGTTTATATAACCCATATATTGCAAAAAAATACCATATATACATACATATCTATCCAACTATATGTCTAGCAAATGCACTGATTTTCAAAGCAATTAGTTAAGCAAACGTTTTGAATAGATCATAAATATATATATACATATATTCAATACCCGATATGTATTGTTTTCTCTTTTGTGTGGCACTCCGTTGTGTAACCTGTACATTATCATTTAGCATACATAACTATATATTTATATACATATATATGAATATATTTATAATACATTTTAAGCAAGCTTTTATTAGTAAATATGAATGAATGAAAACTCATGAAAAAATCTCCCATCAAATGTATCAATTAAAACAAAGTACACACCGTACGAGCAAAATCTTAAAAAAGCTAACTATATATACTATATAGAATGGAATAAAGAAAATATATATATAGTTTATATATGATTACGATCCATGTTAACATAGCATAGACGCATCAGAGGTTCATTTCAACCACGTAAACATCACAAGCAGAGTCTTAAAGATAATGCCACGATCCGTTACGAATGAATCGCTACATACTCAACACTAACATACATATATATTCATATGTCAGTATACAAATTTAAATAACATTTCGGAAAGCAATATACCAAATAGTTAAAAGACAATTATATAAACTATGAAACAGAAAGAGAAACTAGATACATATATGAAGCTGTACAAACATTCTGTTCATGGTAAATGGTCTTCTGTTCCGAAAACAAATCCAAATTCAAAATCAAATTCTAATTCAAATTGGGAAAAAAAGGAAAATTTACAGAATTTAATCTATGTTTTTTTTTACATAAAGCAGAGACCATTTGACAAAATGTTTGAAGTATCTTCCAAAAAAAAAAAACAAAATAAAAGTAAATAAAATATTACCAAAACAAATATGTAATTATATAAAAGAAAAAAAAAAAGATATATACATAAAAAAAAAATAAATAAAAATATATATATATTATATAAATTTACATTTAAAGGAAGTTCAAATACGGCAATCGGATGCTATCGACTGCATAATACTCGCTCACGACACAAAAAAGGATTTTCAATTATTATCTATATCGACATCGGATTTAGGGTGTCTAAACTCGAGCAAAAGCCAATATACTCCCTTTGTGCGCATCGTGAACGAGTATTGAAACGGAAGTTTAGTAATTGGATTGGAGTAGCCAATACGAACGCTGCACAGCACTAACGAATGCTCTATAATACTTATAGGGCATTCCCATGGTAGGAGTACGTCATTGAGCATGCTATAGGGCCGGCTAAGTGTAATATCTAACGAAATTTTATAAGAAATTGAACAATTTTTAACAAATTATGACTATATCTGTACGTATTGTAAAAAATTAAAGAATTAAACAATGTTGCTAATATACACACACACACGTATATATAAATATATAAATATGTATTAAACAAATATAAATATATTGAATGTACCATGTGCTACAGAAAAAGAAAAGTTATAAACAAAAGAAAATATAAACAAACAAAAAATAATATTAATTTCGAAATTGAACCTAATGTCATAAACTATGTATTTAAAGTGTTGAATGTTCAATAATATATTATAATTATAATTACAAATATATGAATAATATAATTTTGACATATTATAACATATTTAAAAATTTAACAAAAGCAAAAACCAAAAAATAATTTTAAAATGTTTACATTTCCTTTTCGAAAAAGATAAACAAATATGAAAAAAAAACTGATTTAATGAGCTATAGGCAAATTTATTTGTACTATCGGAAAAGCCCTCAAGAAATTCCGCCACAATTCAGTTTTTGTATAGCAAGAAGAAGAGAGAAATTAGTTGCGTATGGTAAGTTTTGATCAAAGTGTTTCAAATACATATATTAAGATTAGATTAAATTATCAAAACTCCACAATTTGTTTCTGCTAATGTTATAGACGTTTGTGTTAAACTAGTATTTGTATTATTATATAAATATAAATATATATATATATTTGTAATAGAGCCTCAAACGATTATGGAAAATGCTAAAGAGAACTTTTAACTCAAACTCAAACTCTATTCTATACTCAAAACAGTTCTGCAAACGTTTTGCTGTTCAAAATTTCAAAGTCTATCCAAAGAAGTCTTTAGTTTCCAACTCTTAACTATGCTCCCTGGAAGCGAAATACTCTATGCTTGAAGTAATATTATATGAAATATACATACAATTGACGGGTAACACTTCATGCCTATATCTATCATCTATTTACCTACCAACCCAACCCGCTTTCCCTGCTCTATCAAGAAATCATGGCATTGAACAGCTAACGGCATACTAAGAATACGAATGGAATATACATACATATATATCATAAATAAATTATTGTAATTGAAATGCGTATGGATCAAGTGAAATATTGAAGGGATAACGATAATGATAACGATAATGCATATTACAGAGCAGCAGAAATACACACAAATACAAATACAAATACAAATACAACAAAAATACAACAAACCAAATGAAATACTATTGAAATATAATTGTTAACCATGAAAAAGAAGTCTTTCAATTGGGACCTTAGCTATAATTATATTAATTACCTAATTGAAAAAGAGCGAGAGAGAGAGAGACAAGGTGTGTGTGTGAGAGAGAGAGAGAGAGAGAGAGAGAGAGAGAAGTTGAACGTAGCCAAAGTTCTGTTGAAACTTTGCTTCTGTGGCTTGGTGGTTGCTCTGCATTCGGTGGTGGTTCCACAACAACGAACTAAAGCAAGAGCAGGAGCAGCAGCAGGAGCAGGAGCAACCGCTGCTGGTCGCAAGGAAATTGTGTGCGTGCCCTGAGGCTGTGAAATTTTGGACGTTGTTGCCGTGTGGAAAATGGATTTTCTCTTTTGCAATTTCCATTAGCAACTTTTTGGCCACGAGCCGCTGGCACGCACCAGCGCTGAGCCCCAAAAATATGAAACTAACTTTAGCTTGTTGTGGCTGTCGAAAAGTGGGCAAGCCCCACCTAAGCCAGCCACCCCAGGCCACACGGAAAGCTGGCCATGTAGACTAAGTATCTGTCAGATGCATTCAATAGATGTTGTTGACGATGTGAAGTGAGTGTGAGCGAGTGTATTAGTTGGAGACTTTAGTTTTATGAAAAGCTCTCGAAACTAAATACATACAATTTCCATTAGCAACTATGTATATGCTGAAGCAATCTAACATTCTAATAACTAACTTCCAACATGACATATTGCACCAGTCACTCTTCTCTCTCTTAAATATAATACAGAGACTTTTATGTAGTTATCTTGTATTATGTATTTATCATAAAAAAAACACTTTGTCTTTTAACTTCAAAGGATCAAGTTAAACCGATTCTAAATTATTCTGACTTGGAGAATATAAGACCTAACTA